TGCGTTGACGGAGTCGGTTTCTAAAGACTGTCTGGGCCGACGCTGCTTGGTAACAAAAGCACAGAAGAAGAAGCCAGCGCCAGGTTTTACATGGTTTGTCTAGCACCATTTTAAATGAAAACTTGATGGAAAACAAACAAACAAACAAAAAAACAATGGCGACAGAGTGACAAGCAATGTAAATATTCGTAATGGCAGCGAGAATACCTTTAGTGGCTAACAGCTAGCTGCTAGCCACACATAATAAAAAAAAGAGTAATTTTGTTTGCCCTATCTCCAAATTTAATAACCTTACACTTATTGTGGGTCATTATGCACTGAAAAAATTACATAAAGCACATTTGTTCTGTGTGAAAACACAAAGTTAGCATAGTGAAGCCTTTTTTTTTTTTGCATTAGACGATTCTAAAGAGCACAAAACCTGCAATAAACAGATATTTCATATGGATCACAGTTTCTTTAAGGCACAGAAATCTTTTTCTGACGCATCACCTCAACAGTGGAATGGCTTGTAAAAACTATTGCTTTTGTGGACAATTATGGACACTTTAGTGTCCAACAGCAAGTCCATGAGTAAAATCCAGTCCAGTTTCGTCCAAATGTCCTTTAATTAGTAAATGTTGTAAAAATGTTGAAAGCTCTGTACAGTTGTACTAATAATTATTCTAACAACTGATCAATTAAGTGACTTCTGGAAACAACTGTTGCACTTGACTGTTCAGCAGTACAAGAGCATAGATACACAGCCCACTTTTGCAGGGCTCTACAGACATGCACTAGATGAGATGTGCAGTGACTCAGCCGTCCTTTTTTGTGTGCAACATCAACATAAAGCTCCTATTCTTCACGAGGATGCTTCACCTACTTTTCACGAAACGCGGATGGTGCTCTGATGGTCTGCTGGTGTTTTCTGAATGATGAGTCTGTGCATCAAGTTGCTGTCAACTGGTAGTGCCATGATGTGGGAGGGAGGGAGGAAGGGAGGGATGGAGAGACACCGAGTGGAAGATAGAGGGAGAGGGAGGGAGAGAAAGAGGAGGGCGGCTGTGATGCCACATGAAGCAGGAAGAGAGAGAGAGAGAGGAGAGAGGGAACAGCCGTCCAGCTAGATCAGATTGCTAAAGAGTGATAGAGAGAGCAGTTGGGGGACATTTACTGGTTTTTAAGATTAAAAAAAAAAAAAAGGACAGAGTAAAGGATTAAAAGTAAGAAGGACCTGCTGAAACGACAGCCTCAAGGATGGAGATACAAAAACCCGAATTGTCTTTTGGATAGCTCTGTTTTAAAAAGCTTTGCACCCCACTTTGCAGGTCCAGGCAGAGAGCGAGTGGCCCAGAGGTTCAAGTGTGGCAACTACATTTCGTCTGCACTGGAAAAGGATGATGAGACCCAAAGGTGCAGAGGATGACGGAGCGGCCCTCTACGGTTTTTGAGTAGACGAAGGAGGAGAAGCTGCAGCTGCAGACGCGCAGAATGCCTCAGTTTGGTTAATGGGAGCACTGGGAGAGGACGCAGCGCCCCACGATTCTGGAGCCTCCATTTCAGACAGGTGGGGATAGAGGTAAGACGAGGAAGTTTACCGCAAACTTTCAGCCCATCTGTCACGTTGACGTCTGTCACTGTTTGGAGCAGTGGAGGTGCATCCTAGTGGAACGCATCCTCAGTAGTTTCACAGTAAATACTAAAATCTTACTGGATGTTTTTAAAAAGATCTGTTCCCAAACGGGTCAGAATTACCAGTTGAAATCAAGACAGCAAACCAAACCAGATCCATTTATTTCAGCAATTTAGTTTGTCAGGGGGATGAAAACTTAAATAAATAAATAAATAAAAAATTAAAGTGGCAGGAAAAACTTCAGAAATCAGATTAGTTTGCAACCTAAACAATTGCATAGGTCTCATTTCTGCATTTTAATATGACATTTTATTTATTATCTTTATGCAAATACATACTCTGAGTTCCTCTCTTTTCAATTTGAACACATTGTCAAAATGTCGAAATTGCAACGATTTAGATTGGTTAATGTAATCTTTTTAGGTTTGAAATATTAAAAAAAATTGAATCACAAAATTATTATTCTAAAACAGAAACCCTATATAATCAATTCCATTTTCATATTTAAGAAAATAAAATAACTTGCAGTTGAAGAATTAACTGCAAGAGCCTGAGAATAGAAAGCAGACGTATTAATGGATGAACGTGTTGCTTCAGGTGCTGCTTTCGCTTAAAACAATCAGTGACGTGCAGGTACAAAAAAAAAAAACAAAAAGGCAGGATGGAGGTTATGTAATGCAGATCTGCAGGTCATGTCTTCTTAAGACTATTTTGATTTCATTCACCTACTCACCAGGACAAGATGCGAGCATGAATATGTAATTTTCCAAAAGGAAAAAAAGCTTCAAAACGTTTTTTTTATTTTTTATTTACAGACTCATCGTGGCTGTGGTGTGTTAAGTAACAGGCTGGAGCTTGTGTGTGTGTGCTCTAACTAACCAGTGTTGTTTAAAATTAGAAAATTACAGAGCGAAGGTGTGATGTGGGTGAATCGGGCTTTGTGAAGTTGTACAAATAATAAAACAAGCTGCACCACTACAGCGCAACACGGCACAGGGAAGAAGCTGTGATGAGGGAACCGGCAGGTGTGTGTGCGGTGGAGCGGCTGCAGGTGCAAACGTCGGGCCTGCGCCGGGTCGAGTCGTTTATTATAACAGTGAAGCGGGGGGGATCAGTTCTGTGGAGTTTTGTTGGTTTTCTGTAAGTTAGCATGTTTTTTTTGGGTTTTTTTTGAAGGGCAGCCTGAATAATGCACAGGAAGTGGCCTAGATACGGGAGCCTGCAGGGTCAGTCGCCATCCAAAATCTGTTGGGTTTCATCATGTTTGTGAGCTGCAGTTATAGAATTAGTAACCCTGATTATTTCATTAAATCTAACGCATTCAGACGGGATCTCTACAGTCTTAAGATGCTATGTTACCTATTATGAGGAAGTGCTTTTAGGTCACTTGAGACCGGCTGAGTTCCACATGGTAAGCTATAGGAAAATAAAGTGACACCTGAGCCTCTGAGCTTCCTTCACAAAGGTCTCTGGGGGATGAGGGGGGTTGAGGCGGATCCTCAGCAGCTCAGTTCCCTGTGCTTCTTACTTGAGATGGACTCCTCTCTCCCAGTAGACTTGGTTGTTCTCTCCATTCCCTCCCACTTTTTTCTATTGCATCAAGTTATTTATCAGCATTCTGTCGGCCTCTTCTTTTAAATCCCATGAAAAATAGTATCAGAAAAAAAGTTCTGGAAGAAATTTAAGATTGCTCTCTCTGGCATGTGTATGGACTGCTGAGATTAGATTACACAGATGGACTCTACCTGCAGCCATCAGGCAACTTCAGGAGGCAACTTGTTGCACTCAGAGGAAAGGCGGCTGAATGCATTTGCACACCGCACTTTTCAGTCAAATGTTTTGAATCATGTATTCTTTCTCTTTCACAGTTGTACACCACTTTGTGTTGGTCTTTCACATTAACGTCCGATGAAATATATTTGTTTGCAATTGTAATGTGACAAAATATGGATGGAAAAGTTCAAGGGGTGTGAATACTTTGGAATTTGAAATGTCCCACTGATTGGTCCAGACGAGTGAAAAAAGTGATTATTTTATTTACAGTAAATTCATTAAAATTATATCATCTATAACAGAACCAACATGAACTTTTTTCATTTTTATTTATTTTTAAAAAGTAGTTATTCAGGGCCAGCACATAAATGGAGATAAACTTATAATGCTGATAGATTCTGTGATAATCACAGCAACGATCTATCAAAGAACCCAAAGCTTTTTGGGTTTGTTTTTTTTTTGTTTTTGTTTTTTGGGGTCAAATCTGCAGGTCAGACCTCAGAAACAAGCAGCAGCAGCACCAGGTCTGATCAGTTCAACTCTGCACTTCATATACATGAAATGTCAGTTTATCATTAGTTTATTTCTTTTTAATTGTTTATTTCTGTTGTTTGCATTGCAATGTTTTGAACACACACCGTGAGGCTGTGAGTTTATTTAATTTAAACTGAATCAAGTCATTGAGCTCAAAAAGGTTTTTTTTTTACCTTTTGTTGCACCAAAATGCTTTATTATTAAGATGACTGATAACTGGTTTATTATTTCAGTTACTTATTTATTGCAGTAAATTCACTTAGGATTTATCCTAATTTGGTGTTCATATTTCTCAGGTCGTGTTTCTGATCTCCTTATGAGTTGAAAACTGCTATTGGTTCAAAAAGATACAAAAACTGTCTTATTTCAGCGCCACATTATCTCATTAATTCAATTCTGTGCAGCTGAAGCATTTTGGTACATTTTCAGTCATCTGAAAACGGTCCTAAATGGCTTGGTGTCGTAGGATGTGGTCGTCTCCTGTTTCAATAAACTAGAGAAGTCCAGCTGCCTTGGTACTTTGCCATTTGAAGTAGATCTGAGTGACTAGCAACTTTACATTAGCAATGTTATCTCTTAGCCACTACTCAAAATGGTAAAGACAACAACTTATAGCATTCATGCAAGCTGGATCCTTGTTGATCTTCACTAGTCAGGAAAAGGTCACAAGAAAAAAATCTACTTGTCTCCTCATATTTACAGTCAGGGCAACAATTAAAAAATTCAGAACATCCGGAACTGTGAGAAAGTTAAGGATTATTTAGCCGCCATCTGCAGTGCTGAAGTTAAGCTAAAGAAAACAAGGACTTTGGTTTCACAGAAAAAGAGCTAATCTTTGGGCTTTGTGGACATTTTTATCTGGAGTGCCACTAATTGTTGAGGCACAATGTGGTCTACATGGTAGAGTTTAGGATTTTCAGGCTCTTATCCAATCACTCCAAGGGCTCAGGAGAAGTTTTTACTTTCATTTAACGAACCAGTTGCACCCCTGACACTGTGAGGCTGTAGAGGCTGTAAGGCTATGTGCCGTACGGGGCCGCTCAGGTTGGGCCAGCCGCTCAGGTCGGGCCTGCTTTGGTGCGACACGCCACAACAATGCTGGAGATCTTGATTAGTTTCAGTTACATAACAGAGTTGTTGAAGTTGTCTGTAAAATACAAACCTTCCCAGCTGTTACATTTGTATAAGGAGAAAAAAAAAAGGTCCAACGTGTGTTTCAGGGTGTAATGAATTGAGCAAAACGAACCCTATTTTTAGCACCGACAGCTGTTGCTTTGATGAGCTACGTCGTCAAAAATGCAAAAATAGCAGCACTGGCTACAGTACGCTTCCCTGTGGAGGGCGTGCGTTTGACCCCGAGGGACGGAACGTGGAGATCCGGCCGCAGATCAGCAGAGCTTCCATGTGAGGGAGCACACACATAAAGCTGTAGTGTGTGTGGCAGACTGCAAGGCACTCGGGATTTGGGAGCGCACATGAGTGAACTGTTGGGTCTTTGGGGTCCAAATCAGACAGGCAGACACACAGAGCGGATGATGCAAAACAATGAGAGCTGTCTGCGCCCAGGGGGACTTCAATCCACCTCCCAGGAGGTAAACTTCTTGACCCCAGGGCTCAGCACTCAGAGCTTTGATAAGGTTATCTCGTGCCTGACAGAGGCAATGATATAAGAGATGTACCAAAATCATCCCCACTGCTCATTTTTTGTCCAGACTCTTTGGGACATGCAGTGCCTTTCAAAAGTATTCATTTCCTTAAAGGGATGGTATTATGTAAAGTAAACTTTTTGAGCTTTACATCATGTTATAATGTGATTCTCTCATCAAATACAGACCTGGAGTGTTGCTTTGATTCTTTCATGCATGTTTGAGAAATCATTTAATCTCCCATGGCAACCATTCAGATGTGCAAAACATCTGGGTGGACCTAGTGCTGCTTTCAAGGATGCAGTTTGCAAGTTTCTACCTTCTACCAGCGACCCCCCCACTCAGTTCCTTCAGACTAGCCACAAGCAATTAGCAGCCGTCATATTTCATCATAGGGGCTGTTTCTCAGTTTTCCGGTGGTAAAAAGGTTAAAGGGTTAATAGAGGAGCCATGTTGTGATGATTTCCTGAAGGCAGAGTTTCAGAAAGAGCAGGAGCTTTTAAAGAAACAGAGGCCCAATTTCAAGGTGTTACATTACAAAGTCAAACTTCTGTAAAGTCATGTTTAATATACACATTTCACACACTGTGTGTGTGTGTGTGTGTGTGTGTGTGTGTGTGTGTGTGTATATATATATACTTTGTTACTTTGCTATATATATATAGGTAGTTCACATTTGTAGGGTGAAATTACCAAAATACCTTATTTTCAAAATTTTGCAAATAAAAATGTGTTTGGCATACATTTTTTTGGCCCTTATGCAAAATGCATGTGTATATTAGTTTGTATTCGTCTGTCACATAGCCTCCCCAAATAATAACGTTTGTGGTTAGAATGTGGAAAAAGTTCAAGGCGTACATGTCTGCAAAGCACTGAACATTGTTAGATTGGGTTCTAACTCTGTAACCGGCTTGTTCCTGGTCAGGATTTCTGCAATGTGTTTAATCACAGATGCTAAAGGCCAGGATACTGGTGAGAAATCTGCCTTACTCTTGTAGGAAGCACCGAGGGAAGGGGACCCTATTTCAGTGCATCCTCACTGCATGATTAATAACACTGCAAATTTTACAGAATGAGGTCAAATAAATAGAGTCCTTCGGTCTGCATCTCTGCAGCATCTGGAATTGTGTGACCAATGGATAAGTGGCAGACACACAAATCCCACAGGAGTTCCAGTATCCCCGCCCCCCCAGTTGTCCCACAGTATAAATATTGTAAACGGAGGACAATGGTAAACTTAGGTTTTTAACACATCTCACACACCTTGTCTGTTAGATGTGTAATGACTGCACAGCATGTTGCTGAAAGACCTTAACTACAGCCAGGACACGCCGTCCTTATTTTTCATCAGCATACATTATGTATGTCGAGCCTCTTCAATCAGCAAAACAATTACAATCTTACACTCGAACTGCCATCATGAATTTTGTATTGAATTATTGTGGGAATTATTGTGGCTTAAATCGATCGTTTTGACTTTCTGATCTGAGGTTCTGTGATGTTATTGTCAGCAATAGTTCCCTCACCTGTTGGAGCCAAATATTACATTACAGTGACGTTATGAAACAGTGAAGAAATCCAGGGTGTGGCAACATGCTAACAGCTATTAGCTGGCTTGTCTAGCTAATCATTTCAGCCGACTTTTCAATTCAAAACCTCTCAAAGGGAAAATGTTTATGGATATTAAATATCTGCACTTCCACAAGAGACTATAGTTTAGCTTCCTACTGCCCAACTATTAACTTTCCACCACTATTAAACTCTCTTTAGTTTATCTGCAGTGGACAGCTCTCTTGTTGTCCACTGCTAATGGTTAGTCTGAGAAAGAGCAAACTTAAATTGACCTTCTACTCTTACCACCTTGAAATCCAATCCAATCATAAAAAACATAATGCTAACAATATTTTATGAACATTTGAACTCCTGTCCCATTTGCCTGGTTGGTTATTTATGAAGAAATAGCACATAAAATAAAGCAGGCTGTGCACCACTGATGATTTTCTGGTGTAAAGAAAAAATATTGTTTTATATAATCTGACAGTTCAGCAAATCCTCTTTTATTTTATGTTTTCACTGCCTTACCTTTCCTTTAGGAAGAGATGGCAAAAGTATTCACAGTCTTTACTTCAGTAAAAGAACTTAAATAATAGGTGAGCCTACTTTGTGTGAAAAAATGCTTACCATTCTTTCCTTACGTGAAAGTAAAATAAAGTACAAGTTTTAAATTATAGTAGAAAAGTTAAATGTAAAAAAACACATAACTTTCACCTTCAAACATACAAAATAATTCTTTAGAAATCTAAAAAGAAAAAGTTGTCCTCATTTGCTCACGACCTCTCTTTTAGGTATGTTTACCTAAAAGTGTTTCTTTTTCTGATTTGACAAAAAAAAAAAGAAGTTCTTACAAGAATTGGTTTTTTGGTCTGCAGAAAACACAGCTACAGATGGGCAATGCCTGGTAATCTGAATGTTTTGTCATTGTTGTTAATTTTAATCAGAAGAAGAAGAATTAAAATCTTTTGGCTTGTTTTATTCTCTCTTCTGCCTGGATTCCTTGATGTCGTCATTGTATCAGTCATAAAGACAAACGTTTTTCCCAAGTCCAAACAACAACATTTATTAGACAAACAACTAATTAAACTGACAAAACTCAATAAAATCACAGACCAGCATCCAATTCAAATATTTACCTCACTCCACAGACATCCCCACACCAAGACAAACTTACGGGGAACATTTCACCGACGCACCGTTCCCTGGGGACAGCATCACGGGTAACCCCGGAGCGATCTGAAGTTAAGGTTCTGGGTCCTATATTTTTAAAGGGAGGGTGTGTTTCCCTTCTCTGCTGTATTCAAATTTAGGGGAGTGTCCTTAGCTAAGTTAATTTAAATCTAGTTGACTATGTTCCAGTAAAAACCTGTTTTTAAGATCAAAGAAGTGTTATTTTCTTTTGAATGAAGACAGATGTTTTTATGACCCTGTCCCAAGAAGAAGTTCTACTCTGTTGGCAGGACCAGATTGTTTTACACCAGCTGTTGAATCTTATCAAAGTGGTCAAAGGGTTAAACTCACACACAGAGCCATGACCCCCTGTGAATGCCTGCTCAGTCCACAGAGAGACTAGCTGTGTTTTAAATTATAGAGAACTACAAGCTAAGTTATTTTAATTCCACTTAGTGTAATATGTTTCAATAGAACTATCGTACTTAAGATATCACGCTAATTGAACCATGGTTGTCCCTTAGTGGGGTCAAGAGGGGTGCTGGTGCCTATCTCTAGCTAACGTCCCGGGCGAGAGGCAGGGTACACCCTGGACAGGTCGCCAGTCTGTCGCAAGTTTTTACAACTAGCATATTTTAAAGTTATTTTCTTAACATTGTGTATAATGGTTCCCAGTTTACTGTCGTCGTCCATGTTGCGGTTAATATTTTCTGTTTGACAAGTCAATTCATCTTCCCTCTTTTCTTATAACTTTGTCATCATCGATAAACATCGAAGTAAGCTAATTTTGAGAATGCAGTCAGTAGAGAGGACAGTTATTTATGTTCAGTTGTAGGGAGTAAAACTTCAGAAAAATAAATACTTAAGTACTGCATGGATTCTTGAAAAAGCTACTTAGGTACAGCTGTAGGTCACTACTAGATGAAAATACTTTGGGAAGATCCGTTGTGGTGCACCGTCACCTCTAGTTCCAGTTTACATCATTTTTAGCTTCTGTGTAAATTACCATTTGATTAAGTTTTCAAGGTTTATGAAATAGTTTCTTCCTAAATCTTTTTACATTTTTGAGATTGAAGTTGTCTTTAAACGGTAAAAGCCCGCTTTGTTCTTAGCCCCCGTTTGCCTCCACTTTCCGACTCATCTGGATCCAAGAGATACTAACCAATTATAAGCCTCAAACAGAACATGATTTATAAAATCCCAAACTATCCCTTTGATTAGCTGTCACTTCTAACTTTCTTAATAATTCTAAAGAAAAACACAGGAAAGGTAATTTGACATAAGTGGCGACAGTGTGAGGCCAGCCCGGCTCTTGTTTAGCTCACATCAAAAGGCAGGAAGACTCTTCTGGGAGCATTAATTGGATTTAATGTCATGATGATTAAAGAGGGCAGGAGAAAAAGAGGATAGTAACCACAGTAACTGGATGAGCTCTAACACTGAAGACCCTGAACTGGGAATTACACACAAACACTTCCTGCTAGATGTGTAATTTTTCTCATTAGGGCTTCATTCCCGTTTTCTTCTGGATTAACCAGCCAAAGAAAATCTATAAAATAGTTATCATGTTTCCATACATACATAAAAAACAAAAAAAACCCTAAGATGTAGGACACGGGCTCAGACAAATCAGTTGCCAATGCTAGTCCTGCAGAAAAAAACTCTTATTTGCAAATATGTGGTTCTGTAATTTAAGGAGATAAAAAACTTGTACTGTTTATTATTTGCCAACAGGTGTGCCGTTTTACATGACCTGACCATCATGTTACTCACACTACTCTCTCTTGACGCTCTCTACAGGAACTGGATTCATACACTGAGCTCCCACTATGCCCCCTAAATGACTCACTAAAATGCAGCATAGCCAGTGATCAAGCTGCGAGGGGCCTTGATCACGCACTTGGACTCCAGGCCTGCCCGTCTGACAAAAGCCCGGCAGCTGGAGACGACGTCAAGGAGTATGAGTGTGGGAAGAATCAACCGCTACAGCATTGTTTCGTCAGAGGAAGAAGGCCTCCGCCTCACTACCATGCATGGCATGAATGGCTTTGGGAATGGCAAGATCCACACACGCCGCAAGTGCCGCAACCGCTTTGTGAAAAAGAATGGCCAGTGCAACGTGCAGTTTGCCAACATGGACGACAAATCACAGCGCTACATGGCCGACATCTTCACCACGTGCGTCGACATCCGCTGGCGATGGATGCTGGTAGTCTTCACTCTTGTGTTTGTCATATCTTGGCTGGCCTTTGGGTTGGCCTTTTGGGTCATTGCTTTGCTGCACGGGGATCTGGACAACCCAGCTGGAGACGACAACTTCACTCCCTGCGTGCTGCAGGTCAACGGGTTTGTGGCTGCGTTTTTGTTCTCCATTGAAACACAGTCAACAATAGGGTATGGCTACCGCTGCGTGACCGAGGAGTGCCCAGTGGCTGTCTTCATGGTCGTCTTCCAGTCGATAGTTGGCTGCATCATTGACTGCTTCATGATAGGCGCCATCATGGCTAAAATGGCGAGGCCTAAGAAGCGAGCGCAGACACTCTTGTTTAGCCACAACGCAGTCATTGCCATGCGGGATGGAAAGCTGTGTCTTATGTGGAGAGTGGGAAACCTTCGCAAGAGTCACATTGTAGAAGCTCATGTCAGAGCACAGCTAATCAAACCTCGGATAACCGATGAGGGGGAGTATATTCCACTAGACCAGATAGACATTAATGTAGGGTTTGACAAAGGTTTAGACAGGATCTTCTTGGTTTCACCCATCACTATTCTCCATGAGATAGACGAGGAGAGCCCTCTGTTTGGAATCAGCAAGCAGGACCTGGAGACGGCAGACTTTGAGATCATCGTCATCCTAGAGGGAATGGTCGAAGCAACCGCCATGACCACGCAGGCTCGCAGCTCCTACCTGGCCTCTGAGATTCTTTGGGGCCACAGGTTTGAACCTGTCCTGTTTGAGGAAAAAAACCTGTACAAGGTGGATTATTCACACTTTCACAAAACGTACGAGGTGCCGTCCACCCCTCGCTGCAGTGCCAAGGACATGGTGGAGAACAAGTTCCTCATGCCCAGCTCCAACACCTTCTGCTATGAAAACGAGCTGGCCTTCCTAAACCGTGACGAGGAGGAGGACGACTTAGGCGGCGGGAGCAGAGCATTGGCAAATCTGAGTCCGGACAGGAACAGCCGACACGAGTTTGAACGTTTACAGGCCACCAGGTCGTTGGATCAAAGATCATATCGTAGAGAGTCGGAAATTTGACGCTAACTCAATGACCAAGCATCAGATTCCTTTAACTTTATCCATGGAATAAAAATGCAGAACAATGCAAAGTGCCATAGGTAGAGCTAAGAATTGTAAGAGAATTGAAAACGAATACAAAACCCTTAAAAAGGGATTTTTTGGAAATGCAAATGTGTAGATGGCGATGGCAAGTAACATCTACAATTAAGAAAAAGATAGACCTCCTTCCTTCACCAAAACTTGAATGTTTTTTCACACGGTCATTTTGAGTTAAGAATGCTACGTTTTTTGGCAGGACCTTATGATACATCTTAGGTGTAAATACATTTCCTAAATAAGTCGTTTTGTGTCCAGTACCAGATTCAAAAGCACCTTTAAAAGTAGAACGTGTTCTTGGCCACCCGTTGTAATGTTCTGGATCTTCTCTTCAGCTCGTCTAGCAATGCTGTAATTTGCTGGACAAGCATAAAGGAAGACATTAAGAATTCAGTCACAAAAGTAAAACATCATTTCGTAGCTTTGTTTTATATTCTGGCACAAAAATCTAATTTTTACAGGAGAGCAGGAAACATTAAATGTGCTTTTAGTTTGACGAAGAATGTAACGATCAACTGAAATGAAACAGCACAAACACTTTATGAATTACTACAGCACTTATGAGGAGTTCATACGAGTTGTTCGTGGCATGGTTTTAACTTAAAAACCACAAACGCAAAAGTGGTGAAAAGTAACATTTCACATGCTTTAAGGACATGCTGCAACAATCCAGGTTTATCCTGATGAAGGTCAACCATGAAAAGCTGTTCTTTGTAATCTGACAAAGAACAACAACCTAAACTACAACCATACTTTTGTATAGCATGTAACCAACCATGTCAATTTATTTTGGCTGGTATCCATAAACTCATATATATTCCATATGAAACTTAAGCAATAGTTTGCATTTTTGTTTAAATGCGGTTGTGCAGAGCAGTTACAAGACATCAGTATCTTAGCAGGGATCTCAGTGTATGAACGTCAGTCAGATCTCATCAAGCTAACAATCTAAAATAATTCAAATTCAAAATCCAAATGATATACAACGTATTTTGAGAAATTATAACTTTAGCATGAGATTTTATTTTATTTTTTACTTTTTTTGAAAGTAAAAAAAGTAGTAGAGCAAAATTGATTTTGAGAGCAGACCGTGTGCTGATAAAAACATCCTTCAGCTGGTAACTAACATTTAGCTCAGGCAAATATCCTTTAATCTCCTCAATCGAAAGAACCAGTTTTTTTAACAAATAAAACTGAAGTAAAAGTTTACATAAATTTGATCAGGGAAATGTTTATTTAGAATTTCTGAGCAATATTTATTTCATTGTAACACCAAATTTAAAAACAAAATTCCAGCCGTCTTTAAAATGTGCAGATTTTATCAAGTCGTAACACAGAAGACGATTGAGAAAATAGACAAAGTACAATCAATTGTAATGCATCATGTGAATTTGCCTTGATGTAAAAATATCAAATGTAGCATTCCCTCAAAACACAAAGAATATTTTAAGCTTATGTTGCGTTAGATGTTGGATAACTCCTGTGAAATGGGCACTGCACTAAGAAGTTGTTAGCTTGTATCTTCTGTTCGAACATCTCCTGATATTTTCAGGTAAAACATTTACTGCCCGCAATTAATCCACACAACCCCACTTTGTAAAAACAATTGCAATTTTTCTGTTTAAAATGAATCTATGCATATTACCCAAATCAGGGGATAAACATCTAATCTAATCTGTATGTGAAACAATTGTGTGATGACATTGCTTTAATCAATATTCACTGTAGTAAATGAAAAATGGTGTGAAGTCAGTTTCCATGAGTAGATGTTTCAACATGAAGAAAATGGGAAATTCAAAAGTGAAGTTAAGCTGGAAATGGAAAATGTCTGTTGATAAAAATTATTCAGTTGTGATTAACAAAACATATTAATGGGTAGTTAATGTGTTTTGATTCGTTAAAAGGTGGGAACACAGTGGCTGTTACAAAGAAGAGAGATGTGAACGTTAGCTAGAAAAAAGGATTGTAATCATAAAGGCAACAAATGACCAACTTCATCTGATTGGTTAAAATCACACTGTAGACAGATATTTAGCTAAGAAAAAAGAGCAGAGTCAGTATAGAGAGGCATAAATAGAAGCAATAAACACTGAAGCACATCATTTTCCAGCCAATTTAATTAGATGTGTTACGATTTCCTCTTTGTCGACAAACTTATAAATCCAAAGAAGTTTTTGAAGGATATAATGGAAATGTTTTTTTTTTTTCATTTCAACTGTACCTGTATCACTATTAGTTTTTGTATATATTTGATACCAAAGTAACAAAGTGTTGCTTATAATTAAGTTAAAAACTGATTGTTCCCACAGCAACCATCCAAAACCATTTAGGCTGACACTTGTTGACAGAAATCATTGAAAAGAGAAAATCAAGTTTAAAGCAACATTGTCTCTCTTTGTCACTGACAATAGGAAGTGTAATAGAGCCCATACTGGATGTTACATCAGAATTTATCACTAATAATAATACTAATATCTCACCTGAACTGATTTTTGTTGATGTTCACACACATCTATAGAAGAGAGATAATGGAATGTGGTGAAATATGAAAACAGAAGGAGAACCATGTAATGGTTGTTACATTGGTCACAATGACTAATATTTTCTTAATAGTCATTTAAATGGTATGTCTGATAATATTTCTTAGTAATTTGTTAGAGAATAGAAAAATGTACAGTTGGGCAAAATAAGTATTGAATTCATTTCACAGGATAAGAATCGACATGTTGACTTGAGATTCAGACTAGATGTTGGTAACAACCAATACAATCCATAAGTAGGAAATCATGAAAACAAATATGTCCATATATGAAGTAATAATATGGAATAAAGTGAGATGACATGAGTATGAATGAGTGAATGTTGAGTACTGTGAGTACTGAATGAATGAAAACACAGCAAAAATGGACAGAAAGTTAAAATAGTTGGCTGATAAGGTTTCTTAACATGTCCTGATGAGTAAGAGAAAACGGTTGCATTTCTAAATTGGCAATAGTTCCAGTGAACATTATTGGTGTCAACATGTAGAATTGGAAAGATCCAGTTTCCATCATAAAGTGGTCATGACCAAGCACCTTCCAAGATTGTTGGCAGAGGAATGAAAAGAATTATGAAAACAGTTGTCAAAGAGCCACAGACAATTCACTGAGAGCTTCAGATCAATTTCCATTTGTTTCATGAAATCCATAAATGATACTCTCAACCACCACTGCGCACAGCGCAAGACTCCACTGCTGAAGAAGAAGCATCAACTGTGGAGAAATGTGCTGAGATATTCTTGATAAAAACCCAAAGATGAATTCAGCAAGGCGATGGTACCAAACACACAGCCCAGTGGGATCTCGGTGCCTGTCAATAATGCTGCTAGAACGTCCGAGTCAACCAACCAATCTATGGAAGTCTATGGAAAAATTTGAAAATTTAAAGATGGTTTATGTTAAGAAAGGGTCAAAACTCAAATCTGAGCAAAGCACATAACTTAGATCATAGTTATTATTAACAGCTTTTCTACTGAGGTTTTAATGAATTTCATGTACTGTGTTAAATTCTTGTTCCCTGTGTCATTTCACTTTGTAACACATAATTTATTGACTTTTTAAAATTTAGATTTCTGTGGATATTCTGGTTGTTGCCAACATCTGCCAGCAAAGTCAAAGAAAAATCTGAAAATGTTCACTTATTTTCCCTGCTGTACATAGATATTTTTTGTTGTTTGACAAGCATTCTTTTTCCAACCTTTACTATTTATTTATTATGCTCATTACCTTCTGGGAAGGTTGTGTACACTAAAGTATGATATTTCTGCACCCAATTACTAAATTGTAGAGGTAATAAAAGTGAAGAGTCAACAACTTCTTCACTGGATCAATTTGTTTTTGTTTTGTTTTCAAAAAATTGTTTCAGCTTTAATATTGTTCCCATAAGCCCTTAAAGAGGAAGCAAACATAAAGGTTTTAATGAAATCTAAAGGTTTAACAAAATAATGTTACGATGAACATTATCAGGAGGATTAAACCTGCTTATTTTTATATAAGGTTCTTTTTTGATAGAAAAAGCAGCAATAAATATTTATCTGTTTTTACCAGAGTATTAAAATGAAATTTCACCTGTAAGTTAAAAATCAATATTCTTGTCTGAATCGTTTTTATTTCAGCTCTATTTTCTGCACAGAAGCTCATGATTAAACCATTTGATTTTTTTTTCTTCTTTTAAATGGATGAATGAGAGAAAAAAAATGAAAAAAGAACTTTGACCTCTGTAGAAGTCTTCCTTTGTCCAGCAAAATGTCTACTGGACGTTTGATTTTCATTGAAAGAAATTCAAATTATTCAATTAAAAAAAACAATTTCTGTGAAACAAAAAGACTACTGTTTTTTGGGGCGGGGGAGGAGGGTTATTTTGCAGTTAGAAACTCAGTGGTTCCTTGCTGGTTTGCTATTCATTCAAGATGGCTCATTGATTAATCGCAGCAACAAATGAACAACTATTGGGCCAAGGAGCCTTTTGGCCCTTCTGGAGAAAAAAAACTGTCAGAAGAATTGCAGCTGATTTATGTAAGAACACATGAGTGATGATTAACGCAACAGGAAGTCTTAATGTTTCAGAAAACCTTCAACTTGAAGTTCTTGCCGAGGGATTGATGCGTTTTCTGTTCACTCCGCTGCATCACAGTTTTTCCTCAGTCGATTTTGGTGCATTTCTCAAAACAATTCGTACAAACAGCAAAACACAGTGGAATACCTGCCTACAAATTAAACAGTTTCTTTCTCAAAATCCTCAAAATTAAATCTTAACTCCATGTTTCACTGTGTTGAACGATTAGTCATGTCAATACAGCAGTGCAGGAATATTCCGTTATTAACTATGGAGGAAGTTTTTAAAAGTAAAACTGGAGTCTGTTGTAAAGTGAAACTATTGAGAGAACAGTGGAAAGAGACAGAGCAATATTAACATTTATGATTTTACTGTAATTTCTCTTTCATTTAAAAAACGAAAAGACAAGAAAAAACAAAACTAGAGTAGAAATGGGAACATGAGGTGATCTCCTTAAGAAAAACTAGACATGCATTGTTTTAGGATTTACATCACTTTATCATTTCCATCTCAATGTGGAGGAAAAGTCTTTAGGGGATGTCAATTGTTTTATAACTTCATGGTTTTCAACACTTGACACTTCAGGATTTCACTCACCCTTTCATTTACATCGATGAAGAGGTGAAAACCAACCACAAAAATTCTAAGCACATTTAGAGACATTTAGTTTAAATTGAATAATTTATCTTATCAGTTCCATCAGTAACTTTAGACATGCATTTCTTTCACAATTTTAATATTTTCAGCTGAGTCCAGTGAAAGGCTTACCAGTGGTCCTTGATAAATCTCAGTTCTTTTCCCATGAGTTTGATCAGTTTGCCTTTGAAATGCTGCTTTGCCTCTGCCTTCCTCACCAGCCAGATACCTGATGGATTCCTTGTATCACCTGAGTTCAGGACGCTGCTGATTGGACCAGATTTCTTTCACCAATTTGGTACATATCTTCATGCACACACATCTGCACCTATGAGAAGATCTATGCAACAATAGGTTCAGGAACAAGGAGTAGCGTTAGAGGAAGTCCCTCAGTAATCCTGTTGTGGGCCACAAACTATTGTCTTATCACTTTATATCCTCAGCCTGTTCTGCCCCATGTCTCCTCACTCCTCTTCATCATCTTTTCTCTGACTGTTGACCAATTTCAAATCTTTGTCCTTCCATAGTCAGAAATGTAACATTGCTTTGTTCTCTGTCTGCAGACACCATATATTTTACCAGTTGATGGTTCATAAGCTGCATCTTTAAGCTCTTTCAGAAAACTGGTTGATCGTTGCTTCACACATTTAATGGATTCATCTGGGAGCAATGTACCAATTCAGGACAGATTCAGAAAAAAAAGTCTCATTGAAATGGACAGGAATATGCTTGACATATTATGACAACTTGATCTGTGTTTAATATTTCATAACATAATTACTCATATTATCATATAGGAATTACATGTTGGTTCTGCATGTAACCAGCATGCAAAGCAAAGCTTTTGGCAAGTGTAATTATGTTGTAGGAACTAAGGTCAATAGAGGAGCAATGTAGTGATGACTTCCTGTAGGCGGTGTTTCAAAAAGAGCAGGAGCTTCTTAAAGAGACAGAGTCCCAATTGTTAAATTACAAAGTAAAAAATTTTTAAGTCATTTTTTAACTACTGAAATTAACATAGCTACTTGATTTTGCTATAAAATTAATTATTAAATTATGCAATGAAGCATTATGCAAATTATGCATCATTTTCCATCACAATTCTATATCATTCATGTGGTAGTCCATTCATGGACTACAATCTCAGGAAAATACACTGCATTTCTTTTTCTTCAAAAACAAAAAAGTACAGAGATGACAGTAATTTTGCAGGTCAGTGTATAAAAATAACAGCATTGAGGAATTAGGGATGAACAGTACTCAATGCATAAAAACATCAATTTTTTTAAACACATGGGTAGAACGCAGATTCAAACCCAACTCTCTGAATGAGCCGTCTACAGATAGCTGTAACATCAAACCGGAGAGCCGTACTGTGTGATCAGATGTCAGAACGCCGTGGCTGATTCAGGACATGTCAGTACAAACTGAGCCCCTCGCTGTAATCCCGGTCACATGCCGTTTGGACGGGATGGGTGCAGCTTACCACAGTGGAAAGACTATGATTTTAATTAAACTAATTCCTTCCAGTGAGTTAAATCCCTGCGCCTTCTAGCCAAGTTATGTAATCAAGGGTTCTGTTGATAACTTGATTTAGTAAGTTATAGAATCTGAAGCGTAAAACTGGAGTCTGTTGAAGCCTAAACATGAGCTTCTCTCAGTCTGTCCCATTGGACCGAATAAACAGTGAAGGTTGTTACTGATGCACCAGACCCACATCAGACTGAAGGGTTCTGCAAGTAGAACCTATTAATTACCATATGGAGACTGTTGCCATGTAACCCGCTGGCAAAGGGAGACAAATAGCTTGCGGATGGATGGATGGAGATAGAAAAGTAACTTCATTACACAACACCAGGGCTAAAACCTCGGATCTCTTGGGAATGTCGCTTCTGTGATTCCCAGGGAATACTTGGTCATGCCAGCTGGGGTCTGCACTCATACATTAGCTCACATGATTTAAAACAAAAAAACCGCTGCACCTTTTAAATCAGCAAAAGCCTGGTATACCCTGTCCAGGCAATTGGTTGTCTAGAGTTAAAGGTGAAGCTCCCTGTGGATTGAATTGCTGCTGATGGTAAAAAGAGGGGAAGATGTGCAGAGAGGGTCTAAATAAAGACCTTTAGCTTTAGCACTAACCCCCATGGGGCTCCTGTTCACCGCTATGGCACACTCCTGTCTACTTCCTATGATAGTATCGTTCAATCAGAGATACTCAGTGGGGCTCCACTCTGTGTTAATATATGCCTGACACAGGAAGTATTACTGTAATTAATATCAGCCTGTTTAGCAGGGATGTGGCGATGCACTTAGCTCATGTGATGTAAACAATTGGAAGGTGTCAAGAATCTCAAACTGAATTTTCAAGAATCTCTGCTCAAAGTAGAATTACATAATTCATATTCAGTTTATGCATTTCAGATTTTGAACAACAGATTATCAAACATTCATAAAAAAAAGCTGTGAAAAAGCCTTCTGGTGCCACCAAGAAGTTCTGAAATACACAGTAGCTTCTGTGTTTTTAGTTGCTAACAGCTAGCCAGTTGTTCTTTGACTGTGAAAGTGAGTGGTGCCATGCAACCCAACAAGAAATCTTTAACAGGTCATTTCTTCAGTACAATGGGACTAAAAATTATTTCCTTTCCTTCTCAAATTAAACAGATACAACAGTAACACACCTACGTTAATATTTCATAAGATGACAAATTAATTAGGTTATTTTTTTATTTCTATATTGATTAAGCTGGACTTTTGGCATGAGTCATAAACTTACAAGTTTAAATGACATCAAGAAGTTGATATTTTTCACATTCCGAAGCGGGAGAGTCCATTCAAAGTCTCAGAAATGTTTTCTAGTCTGTTACCCTAATGGAAGAAACAAAAACACAACAGCCTTGTCCTGCAGCCTACGCTTGTTGTCTTGTGCTAAGAGCCCACTTGTTAGCTGTGAACAGAGCCTAAGTGCACATGACTAGAGATAAAAAAAAAATTTAAAAATAAAATCACACCGACATTTCTTTCAGAGAGCACAGATGGATGCTCAGCTTCATTTCATCATTCTCAGACTCCTCTCCTCTCCAACCTCGGCCTATTTTTAGATTCCTTTTTTTTAGATGTTTCCCAGAATGAAAAGATAAGTTCATGTTCACAGTGAAGAACATTCACATGATTGGGTCTAGGATAAAAGGCAATGTGTACAGCTTATTTAATCTACCATATGTATTTGATGTTTATTTCTTTTCTTTTCTTTTTACTCCACCACTTGGGGTCGCCCGTTTAACATCTTCAACATGTAAAACAGGATTTGCGTCCAGAATTTTCTTTTCTGCGCGTTTGTGTACATTATTTGATTAAAAACTGTTTGTCAGATAAGCTTGAAATATAAGAAACAAATAAATATCCATCATAATTAGCTGCTACATTAATTCCCTAATCAGTGATGCCGGTTGGAGCTTTAAAAAAAAAACATGCTCTAAGTTAAATGTGCTGACATATTGTGCGCCTCGTCTGCTATGAACTGCAGCGGGTTCCTTCTGGTGTCTTCTGATTCACAGCAACATAAATAGGCTCCCTGAGAGGACCTGATGGGGCCACTCTCATTTCCTGCCTCTCCACTCTGGGTAATCATCTCTGTGTGCCTGAAGGCCCTTCAGTATGTCTTTGAGAAAGAAGCAAAGAAGAAGAAGAAGAAGAAGAAGAATCAGAATTGCTCGACTGCAACAGATAGGCTATAAAAAATTGAATAAAACTTTAATTATGTCTGCTTCTGTTATTTTAAGGTTATGCTATTCTGTCTCTCTTGACATTTGATTGCGTATCAACCAATAATGTTTTCTAATGAACCTCTGAGGCCTTCACAGAACGGCCATTTTAAAATTACATTATCATTAGGCAACTTCTGAATCCATCCGCATTTTATTTAGGGGTGTCCGAGGAAATTGGTCTGAAAACAATTTCTTCTTGTTTTTTTTTGTTGTTTTTTTTACTTTGAAAACCATGAAGAATTTTCCTTTGCTTAAAGCGGCAGAAAAAAACTTGCTGCATTCTTGTTGGTTGTGCAGGAGGCTTCACTTCTGCTTTTCATGGATGTAGGGCTGTATAATTGCGTGCCTG